ACCAGTGGAAATGACCGCTTCGCGGCCCTTTTCCACTGGACCACGTCTAGGTATCATGAATTCCCTTTCCTTTTATTGTAGCCGGACGGTGCAAGAGCCTGACTCAAGGAACCATTCGTTGGTCTGCGCCGCCAGAGCCAGCTTCGCGCTAGAAACTGTATAATGTTTGAGCCTGCGGCGCTAGTTACTGGGTTTTTTCCAGGATTGGCCTGCGGCGCCAGAGCCTGGAGTCAAATTTCTTTTCTTTACTTGCGGCGCTAGAGCGAGGGCCAGGCCTAAAACTCGCACACCGAGACCATAGAAATATGTTTTATTGGTGAACTACAAAAAAGCAAAAGGTTAAATTCGGCGCGGATTCGAACCCGGACCACGCGATTGGTAGGCCCTGCGCCTATCCACTACACTACGGGGGAGATGGCGATAGGCGGCGGGAAAGGCTTCTTCTGTCTGGGGGGCCGGGGCATCCGTGAGGGGGCACTTCTGGCAACTTTACAAAATTCTCTTTTTGAATCTAAATGCGCCGAAAATTTGTAAAAATAATAAGATGCGCGTGATCCCCACTATCGAATACATAAGTGGACCAAATTACAGACCAAAATTCGATCTGGGCTTCGAGTTATGGCCCGGACACCACGGGACTGTGGCCATTTTATTAAGGACCTTCTAGTAAAATGCTCCTAAAAATTTTATTTTAAGGAATTTGACAAAATCCAAAAAATAGTATCGGGGGAGAATTGCTTTTACCACTCACCCGCCAAAAATCAGAGCCCAACTCCTCTTGGCGGCCGAGAAAACTTCCGGACATACCTTTTTTTGGGCAAAGTGTTAAGGATTTTTCACTATTTTTGTTGTAAAATCGTTAAATGAAGAAATTTCGCAAAACAAAAAAATGCATCACTGACAAATGTGTTTCTCCAAGTCCATGCCAAAAATCAGCCGGAAATTCGGCCAGACCGCCGAGAAATCGGCTGTACAGAAAACACACATACTTTTCTCGCTTATAGGATAGGATTGTTACCCAGTTATATAATCTAATTAAATTTGTCACGAATTACAATATGTTATGTTCGTAAAATTGTAATAAAAAATCGAAGATAAAAGAGGTCGGAAATTTGATTTTTTGAATGGCATTTAGAAAAAACTGTTTCTTGTGTTAATTAGAAGAAAAAGACGTTATTTTAAATCCTTTGAATCCCATAAATTTAAAGTTGCTCAAATGGCAAGCCTGCAATTAAATAGCCTACTCTATCTATCCAATTATCTATCAAAAAACACCGATTTTCTTTATTTTTTACATAGTTGATTTTTTATAACGCGCACGTTTAATTCTTTCGATATCCTAAAAAAGCCCCGCCTAAAAAATTTAAATGCAACAGCAAACCCTATAACAAGTTAGACAATTCCTAAAAGAAGAGTGAGAAAAACAACCATAAGAAGGCTCAGCGCTCTCGTGCTCTTTTGGTTAATCCGAAATTCCCTGGAGATCAGATTCCGCCGTACATTCAAGCAAAAAAAACAATAAAAAGCCTGAATATTGAAGAAAGTTAACAAACTCGCAATACTGTTCATTGAGCACTATCAAAACAGTCAGCACTTGCAAGGGCTTTCCGGTCCTTGTTTGCACGTGTTCTTCGAATAAGCTTTTTCTCTGAATTCTCAGGGGATCGGTTCAGCAAGTCCATTACTTTGCACGAAAAACCTTGCTAATTTTAGCCTACCTTCTGAAACTCCTAGAATTTTTGATTCCGGAATTTTTTTACGTGGGTTGTAAACAGCTGTCATGTCTATTTATTCCGACGCCTGGCTGTACATGCGAAAATATCGTTCTCGCTCTTCGTCCGGCCCGAACGTCATTTGCTCGCCGTTGGTGGGGAGGGGATGGAAATGGAGCGTTAAAGGGATTGGCAAGGCATAGCAACGTATTTTATCTCTCTCTCTCTCTCTCTCTCTCTCTCTCTTTCGCTCTTTAAAGTTATGGACATGCTATGGACTCAGATTTTTATCATCATGGATTCCCTAAGGATTTTTCCGTGTCCACGACATGCGCCGCGTGCGTGGGTGGCGTGCGCTGCGTATTGCCAGAGCGGCCAAATGCCTTGTCCGTCCTTTTAGCGGGAAAGGTGTCCCACTCGGATAATTTGGGTCCTCAGGCCACATTACCAACCCCCGAATTATCGCTGGCGGCGATTGTCCGCCGGCCAAGCATCCGAAATAGTTCCTGCTTCGGCACCTCGTGAGCCATCACCGTCAAAACCATCTGCGCACTCACCTGAACAGGGAAAGCCTACCCCAAAGCGTTAAAAAGCCCGTAAGACCAGCAACTCTTACCTGGACAACAATCCAAAAGTAGAACATGTCGGCGGTCAATTCTGATACATCCGCTGCCACGTTGAAGCACAGGAAATAAAGGAAAAACGACAGAAAGTTGGTGGTGGTTTTGTAGATGGAGATGTACTTTAGTAGATGAGCTGAGCGGACGCTTTCCAGGGTCTGGTATCTGAACCGTACCCTACTATACACGAATTTAGATCCATGAAAAACTATAATAGCTATGTGGAGCGCACAGATAATCGGTGGACAGAGGAGCATTGTGTAGTCCACTGTTATTTACTCTAAGCTCCATTGCACACCCCGAGGGACTGCGCTATATGCGCGAGATTAGGCGGTTTTTAATTTTTATTTGTTTGTTTTTGAACGACTTCGACTTTTCACAACTTTTTTTAAACTTTTAAACCCCCGAATTCCATGCCTACCTCTCCGCCAACGACGTGCTCCTCTTGGCGACGGCTTTTCGGAATAGGTATCGACTAATTAAGGGTAGTAAGATAAAAAATGTCGTGCTCAAAATGAGAATAGCGAGCACTATTGAATCAGTGGTGCGCTGCGCGACGGCTTCTAGAGAAAGCCACGTTAAAAATGGTTATAGCGACACGTACGAAGGTATCTCAGTGATCCGAATATCCAGCAGAACAAGATCTAAACTCCGTTTTTCTTAGGAAAATGAAACTTACAGTAAAAACTAATAAAAATAGCGCAAGTAGAGGGTATCTTTGATTCATGCGATCGTATTTTTCGGGAAACAACGTTGCGATAAGCCGCTCAAATGATATTGGAAGCATCATACACGCTGCAATGACGACGGCTAGAGACGAAAATATGTTTGGTTTTTCATAGTTTTGAAATAAACGACGTTAAAACTCACACATCATCGACAAGTTTTGCAAAAATTCGGGGAAATCTGTGGCGCACGGGATCGAGAGGAGGTCGACAAGGTTGTAGAGTGTTTTCGAGAATATGCCGATCCAATTGGCCCATGGCTGGCAGAGGAGTAGAAAGCGGAGATTCGGATGGCAAAACTGAGGGGTTTAAATTTAAAAAAAGAAGACGTTCATCTATCATAACAAGCAAAGTAATTATAAAAGTACAACTTACGGTTTTTGACCTGAGAATTCGTGTATAGATTTGTAACAATATGGTCAGGAAAATCAAGGAAAAGCATATGATGACCTGGAAAGATAAGTTTATAATATGTACGTGAGAGTCGCTTTGGACTCAGGCTTAGGCTTTTAAAGGGATACCCAATGTTTCGCCGGCAAATATATAGTTATGTATTCCGGGCAGTACAAATGACGCGCGAATTTTGTGCGGCAATGGGCCCCAAAGCCGCACAGAATTCGGACACCTTTCCCTCTTGTGACGTTCCCATCCCACCCAATGACTTGCCACTATGGCCTAATGGATAGTCTAGGCCTACAAAACGAGGGTCCCGGGTTCGACCCCCGCCCGCGGCATGGTTTTTGCTTTTTGAGCCCCGAAAAGGTCGGGCGTCCCTTACCTTGGCACAAATCAAAAACACCATCAACTCGGGCATTGGCAACGTTTGTGCAGGAACTTGGCGACTCCCAGTGCTATCCACGAGCTGCCAGGTGCTAATTTGTCCTTTCGCCGTGGTATCGTGACTACTCAATCATTTGTTAAGGGTCGGAAACGATTAGAGCATCACAACGTGAAGCCTGTAATCACCGCAATTTTTCAGTTTCCAAACTTGAAGAACCATTTTGAATATTTAATTTTGCTGTAATCATATGCTTTTTCGCCCGTTATTGCTTTCCTTTTTTATATAAGGGGCTCTGAACGACAATTATTCTGCAGAGCTTCAGTAAATTTCGTGTAAGATGGAGTTATCTGACTTTCATTGGCACAATTTATCCCCACGCCTGGGTGTACATGCGAAAATATCGTTCTCGCTCTTCGGCGGGGGTGAAGATCATCCGCTCGCCGTTGATGGAGAGGGGCTGAAAAGTTTTTTTTGGAGAGAGAGAGAGAGAGAGAGAGAGAGAGAGAGAGAGAGAGAGAAAGACAGCATCAGATTGAGAAAGAAACCCCAATCCTAATTTTTATAAGTTTCTTACCACAGCCTTGTCACTCCCAACAATCGTCTGCCGGCCAAGCATCCGAAACAGCTCCTGCTTCGGCACCTCGTGCGCCAACACCGTCAAAACCATCTGCGCACAAACCTGAACCAGCCGAGTGTTCTACAATGTCCAGCTGCTCTTTGTCAAGCGTGGAAAAATTGCTCGCTCAATTCCAACGTACAGCGTAACATCACTCACCAGAATCGCAATCCAAAAGTAGAAGAGTTCCTTCGTGAATTCTTGATACACACCACCGTGGCGAAAGCATAGTGAATAAACGCCGAGCGAAAGAAAGTTGGAGACTGTTTTGAAGATCGAGACATATTTTAGTAGTTGAGCGGAACGGACGCTCTCGAGGGTTTGGTATCTGAAACGCGCTTTAATTTCAGTGGATTATGGCGCTATAATACGGCGAATTTCTCAAGCGTTGTGCTAAACTATATAACCCTTTTGACTAGCGCAAAGTTGAGCCTAAGCTGGAGCCCAGCTTCCCTGAGCTGAGTCCCGAACCAATTTTTGAACCCCCAGTGCAAATTAAAACCAGGTTAAGCTAGGTTTAGGATTAGGTGTAAGCCTGGACCTAAGCCAAAATATAGATGAAGCCAAGCCAAGCCGAAGTCCAATTTTAAACCCCGTACGTACGTCCGCCAAATAGCAAAGCTCACCTCATCGCCAACGTCGAGCTCCTCTTTCCGACAGCTTTCCGAAACAAATGACGTGTAATAAAAGGCAATATAACGAAAAATATGGTGCTCAACACAAGAATGCCGAAAACTATATAATCCGTGACACCAGAGGCGAAAACTTCTAAAAATCTCATCGCACGCTTGCGTAAAACCCACTTAGGTAGTTGAGATATCCGGCCAGCAAGCAGAACAGGATCTATAACGCATGCTTTTTAGTTTAAATCAAACATACAATGAAGATAAGTAGAAATATCGCAAGCAGAGGATATTTTTGATTCATACGATCGTATTTTTCCGGGAAAGCCGTCGCTATCAAGCGTTCAAACGATATGGGCAACATCATGCATGTCGCATTAACAACGGCTGCAAAAAAACGTTGTAAATTTACAGTTTTCAACCCACACATTAGCGTTAGGTTCTGGATAAATTGATAGAACGTTTTCTCGCACGGGATCGCGAAGAGATCAATCAGATTCCAGAGTGTTTTCGAGAATATGCCGATCCAATTGGCCCACGGTTGGCAGAGGAGGAGGAAGCGGAGATTCGGGTGGCAGAACTAAAGTTGGTTTTATGAAAATATTTTTGTGAAACTGTACAGTCTTGGAGTTTAGGATCCTCGTATACATATGTAGCAACGCGGTCACAAAGACACAGCAAATACAAATGTTAATCTGAAAAATATAGTCTAACTTTGTTCAAATGTGGTTTTTAAGGCCTTAGGGGCTGTAAAGGAAGTTTAATGCTCTACAACGACAAGGTCTCGCGAAAGGAAACTACGATTTTGTTGTAAAGTGCCTCCTAAAATTCTTAAGCTCTTAATACTCGTAAAATCTATGACCAAATTTGATATTTTCTCTAAACCAGCTCCTAAAATGCCACAATCCATTAAGCCTTTATAAATCACAGACAAAAACTGCGGTTTTTTTGTTATATATTCCCCAGAATCCATTATCGATTATAAAATTTGTTAAAAATAGTATTTTCCCAGTATTACCTTTGCACAGGTCACAAGCGTCCGAATCAATTCGTCCATAGGAAGCAAACTAAGGCAAAATAGGCATTTTCAGTCGGACGCGTGCTGACGCTGGCTGGCAGGTGGAAAATGTTCGTAGTCCCGCTATGGTGAAGTTCCCGGTATTTCAGAGCACAACCGAGACGCTTGGTAGCCGGCCGGAAATTGGGCTTGTTGGGTGTTTTTCCATTTCAATTAGGGCTGCTGACACTCTTTTTTAGCTCGTGTCTTGCAAGGTTTTTCCATTTCACAAACTTCCTTGTTTGATTGTGATATTGGTTCTTGTGCATTATTGATGGGGTAAACCGAATTTTACCTTTATAAAAACCTTTTACATCTAATCTAACTAGGCTTTTTAGCTAAATTTCGATATATCTGAAGCGGAAGAACTCCACACGTTTTACTTCGAAAATCGCGATTTCATTTGTTTACGCTACAAACCTAGAAAGCCGAAATAACGTTCAATTAAGCCCGCCAATACTTCTTTTTGTTCGGACACCTTTTAGCCCTTCTCCGCGAGCCAAACTTCCTTGATAGACTCTATTTATCGAGAAACTGTGTGTGGAAACAACATAAGGCAACATGTGGAGAGGAGGGCCGGGGAGACATGTGTCGAGGTCAAGATATGGAATGTGCGAACAAGAAAATTCTGAAGGCATCGACGCCGTGGAGGGAAAGGGCAGGGCAACAATCGAGCAAAATTCCTAACAACAAAAAAGGTGCGAGGGAGAGATCGACCCAAACAATGCGAGAGAGGAAATTTGGGGGGGCGGGAACATAAGATGTCAAGGCACAATCTAAAGGCACTAGAATGGGGGAGAGAAGTACACCTGAACGAGACGGAACCAGCGAGCACGCCAGCTGGGGGTTCACCCAAAGCGGCCATCACACTTACACAGGGGGTACGCGCCGAAAGGCCCGGCGGAAAGCGACATAGAAAAATTCCAAAATTAAGCTGTTGATCAGAGAAGATGGAAAGGTTCTTTTGCATTATCCGGGGGGGGGGGGGGGCTGTTTTTCCTAACGTCCAGATATTTCCATAGTATTTTAATACTTTGTCATAACAAAACTTAAAAACGTAAAACTTTGGCTATATTAAAGGTGAAAAAACCATATACGAATCTTTAAAAATAATCGCAAATTAGAAATTTTTCTCCAAAAACGATATTTTTGTATTTTTAACATAAAAAGTTGTAGATTTTTCCGTTCGAGGAATACTTCCCCACCCGATAATGCAAAAGAACCCCAGGGAAAACTATTGGAATGTAACAAATTGGAAAGAACTTGGGAATTCTTTAGACCTGGGGGCTGATCAGGTGCTTGGCCTGTTCGGCCGGGCGCGTCTTCTTCAGCAACGGCAACAGCATCACCCCAGACAGCGCCAGGTTGACGCCGCAGAAGATGAATGCCGGGTGGTAGGAGTTGAAGCTGTCGGCCAGGTAGCCGGACAGCGGCGGGCCGAACACGGTGCCGATGCCCTAAACACAAACAAAATTTGATTTCCTTCAAAGCTTTTACTACCTGGAACAACAGCAGCAACCCGAAGGCGTTGGTCAGCTTCTCAATGCCGAGCAAGTCGACGAGAATCACGGAAGTCAGGCAAACGTACGAAGAAATGCTGCAAAATTCAGGTTTTTTTCCCGATCGGAAATAGTTAAACCTCAAGCCAAAAAGCCCAGCGTAGGCGCAGAGCAACGCGTAGCTGCTGAACAGGTAGGAGAGGGAGGTCAGAACGCCGCAGAACTAAAAAAAAATAACGGTATAGCTAATAAAATTTGAGAATTACCGCCAACGATCCGATGTAGATGAGCATACGATTGCGGGCGGCATTGGCGCCTCCGAGATCGCCGATCAAACCGAAGAGAAGACGGCCGATCGTGTTGAAAACGCCTAAAATAAATGTAAATCCGAGAAGGTTTAATATACCGAAGTAGGTGATGGCGACAGCCGAGGCTTCCGGTGTGAGCCCGAGGCCCTTGTTGCCATGGAGGGGCAGGAAATAGAGCGGCGAGTTGAAGCCGACCGACGTCATCAGGTTCGAGATGGCAAAGATCCAGAAGGCCTTGTCGCGCAGCAGGTCAGAGTTCAGCATCGAGGCGATGACACTAAACAGGGAATTAAATACGGGGAAATGAAATATGCTAGCTATTTTCCTTTTACTTTTTCATCTTTTCGCGTTTTTTTATTTTTGACGACCTACCCCTTCTCATTCTCGACGGGTCCAGCGTTCAACGACGTGATAGACCTGAAAATTAATGCTGAATTTAAGTTTTAATCAAATTTATTTCCCACAACATTTATAACATTAAAACTAATGGCCTGGTTGGGACTAGGATTAACTATAGAGAAATAAAATTAGCTCCCTAACCGTCGCCCGAAGCTGGGATTAGTTTACCCGATACCTGTAGGCTGACAGCCTTAAAAATTACTTTAAATTATATAGTGGCTTTGGGACCTACTTGACGTAATCCGGGTTGTCCTTGCACTCGGGCAGGTTGTGGACGGAGCCGGTGTAGAAGACGTCCTTTTTCTGGAGGTATCCGGTGGCCGAGGAAACGGTGCCGGAGCTAAATGTTAATTTTTTACGCCCTTAACCGAGTTTTAATAATTTTATAAATGTGTTTATTAAGGTGTTCGATGATGTTCAAAAAAAGTAAGTTCTACCAACCGAGAGCGGGGTTCCCCATTAACTTGGCTGAGCGAAATCGAGTGTTTTGAGCCCTTCAGCGAGTTGGTACCACTCTAAAAAGGATACTATTAATTTTACTTTAAAAATAATATACCTTATCGATCTGCGACGAGCTTGACGAGTGCAATCGCCCGCCAACAATTGGAGGCGACAGCAGGGCAGCGTCTTCCTAAACAAAATTTCCTTTACTACATTCTATTCCACAACATCACTACTACTCGGCGCGCACTTGTATTTTTTCTCTCGCAAAAGCCATGCAATTAGTGATTCAGTTTTCACAACGGAAATATTCATCGGCGGCCGGGTGAAGGGAAAGAATGTATCGACGAGCACCACACATTTTCTAAAACGCACCAGGATCCCAGGAAGTTTCGAGCCGCGGGAAACTTTGGGTTTTGGCTAAAACACGGCCAGCTGTCTATCGTATGCGTGAATTTTTTGGTGTTTGAAATTCCCAAAAACTCAAAAACCAGAAAAATACCTTGATGTTTCCGTTCTCCTCCTTGGACTCGTCGAGGGCCTTCTTCTCCTCCTCGTCGTTGTCCTCGCGGAATTGGATCGGACGGAAGGTGGCTCCATACAAGATGCAGGTCAGAATGGCTCCTAGAAAAACACATTTCAAGGAAATTTGGTGCCAAATTTACCGGTAAAGGTAACGAAACCAGCCCTCCAGCCGGTAATTCTGGATCACCCAGTTGTTGATGGGGCCAAACGCGGCAGACCCGACTCCAGCGCCGCAAACGGTGATTCCGGTGGCCAGGGCGCGTCGTCTAAAACCCAAAAATTAGTTAAATCCAAATTAAACCCACTTTTCGGAAATAGGTGGTAACGATTACGATGGCCGGGCAGTACATCAACCCGAAGCCGAAGCCCATGATGATGCCGACACTAGCCGATAGGTAGCCCATCGAGTTGGCCCATGATGAGATGAGGCATCTAAACATTCCTAATTCCTAATTTTTGAAGCGAAAACTACCCAATCGCAGCGATGACCGATCCAATAATACAGACAGTTCGACAGCCCCACTTGTTCGTGAGCGCGGAAGCGATCGGGCCTAAAATTCAAGGTAAAACAAAGAAAATAAAGGATACCAGCGCCAGAGTGTCAACCCGGTGAGCAGCGCGATGGTCATCGCCGACATGGTATTGTCCAGACTCGAAGACATCGATCAGCTTCTCGGCCACCAGCGCCGGAACGAGTAGAGCACCGTCGGCGATGACGTGAATCATGAAAGACCCGAAGACGACCACCTAAACAAGGAGATTTATAGGGTTTTTGGTACTAGTATACTTTGGGGGGGGGCCAAAAAATTTTTTCGGCCAAAATTTCTCATTTTGCACTATTTTGTTCAGTTTTTCATGCTGAATCGAATGCACATGTTTCCAGATTTTTTTATTATTGCAACAACATAAGAATTAGGCAACAATAACAATTACTAGCAGGGGTGGATCTCCTTTACATGCGACCAAAAGTTGAAGAATGGATCGCATGCTTAGGATTAGGCTTAGGCTTAAGCTTTGACCTAGGCTCGCCAAGCTTAGGCTCAGGCTTTGGCTCCTGCTTTGGCTTTGGCTCAGGTTAGGCTTAGGCTTATCTGCGGCTTGTGCAACGGTATACTACTGAAAAACTATTGAAATTACTTGTAATATAAATAGTTAATTATTACTAGAAAACATGATATAAAAAAATCTGGAAACACTTTCATTGGATTCAGCACGAAAAACTGAACAAAATAATCGAAAATGAGAAATTTTGGTCGAAAAATTTTTGCCCCCAAAGTATACTAGTACCGGGTTTTTAAAAGCTTACCCATCCCCAGCCGCCATCTGGAATGATCGGTATACGTTTGCCC